TGGACAAAATTCAAGAAAGGAAGAACAAGAAACTAGCAATTAACAACAGCCGAACATGAGCAGAGAAAGTCAAAGCACAAGCAGACTACGCAGAAGCAAACAGAGAAGTGAAGAAAAGCATTAAAGCCGACAAGCAGAAATACATGGGAGAACTAGCAATGACGGCGGAAAAAGCTGCAAGAGAAGGGAATATGAAACAACTATATGATACAACGAAGAAATTGGCAGGGAGATATAGCAAACCAGAGAGACCAGTCAAAGACAAAGAAGGAAAGACAATCACTGAGATTCAGGAACAGAGGAAAAGATGGGCAGAATACTTCGAGGAACTGCTGAATAGACCAGCCCCATTGAATCCACCGAACTTCGAAGCAGCCCACACTGACCTTCCAATAGATGACACTCCACCAACAATCGAAGAAGTCAAGATGGCCATCAGACAAATCAAAAGTGGGAAGGCGGTAGGACCTGACAATATGCCAGCAGAAGCACTGAAGTCAGACATTGAAGTAACTGCAAACATGCTTCACCTTCTATTCAAAAAGATTTGGGAAGAGGAACAAGTGCCAACGGACTGGAAAGAAGGATATCTCATCAAGATACCAAAGAAAGGAGATCTGAGCCAATGTGAGAACTACAGAGGTATCAGTTTGTTATCAGTACCAGGAAAAGTTTTCAACAGAGTGCTGCTGAATCGGATGAAAGACGCAGTAGACGCCGAACTTAGGGATCATCAGGCTGGATTCCGTAAGGATCGGTCGTGCACAGACCAGATTGCGACACTACGGATCATCGTTGAACAATCAGTTGAGTGGAACTCATCACTATACGTCAGCTTTATTGACTATGAGAAGGCGTTTGACAGCGTGGACAGGAAAACATTATGGAAAATTCTTCCACACTATGGAGTTCCTGAAAAGATTGTCAACATTATCCAAAACTCATACGATGGACTACAGTGCAAAGTGGTGCATGGAGGACAGCTGACATATGCATTTCCAGTAAGGATAGGAGTCAGACAAGGCTGTCTACTCTCCCCATTCCTCTTCCTTCTGGTGATTGACTGGATTATGAAGAATTCGACATCTGACGGGAAATACGGAATACAATGGACAGCTCAGAATCAATTAAATGATTTGGACTTCGCAGATGACCTAGCCCTCCTCTCTCATACACACGAACAAATGCAGATGAAGACAGCAAATGTAGCAGCAGCCTCCGCATCTATAGGCCTCCACATTCACAAAGGAAAAAGCAAGATTCTCAAATGCAACACGGAGAACACCAACCCAATCACACTTGATGGCGAAACTCTGGAAGAGGTGGAAACATTCAAGTACCTGGGGAGCATCGTTGATAAACAAGGAGGATCGGATGCAGATGTAAAGGCGAGGATTGGCAAAGCAAGGGCAGCATTTCTACAATTGAACAACATATGGAACTCAAAACAACTCTCAACCAATTTCAAGGTCAGAATCTTTAATACGAACGTCAAGACAGTCAGTTATACTGCATGGAGCTGAAACGTGGAGAACTACTACGGCCATCATCAGGAAGATACAAGTATTTATAAACAGTTGTCTACGCAAAATACTCAACATCCACTGGCCGGATACTATCAGCAACAGCGTTTTATGGGAGAGGACAAACCAGCTTCCAGCTGAAGAGGATATTAGGAAAAGACGTTGGAAGTGGATCGGGCATACATTGAGGGAATCACCAATGTGCATCACGACTCAATCCCTAACTTGGAATGGTGAAGGGAAGGGGAAAAGAGGAAGGCCAAAGAACACACTACGCCGTGAAATAGAAGCCGATATGAAAAGGATGAATGTTGACTGGAAAGAACTGGAAAGGAAGGCTCAGGACAGAGTTGGATGGAGAATGCTGGTGAGCGGCCTATGCTCCTCCACAAGGGGTAACAGGCGTAAGTAAGTAAGTAAGTAAGTATGAGATAGCAGGACTAGGTCATCTGCGAAGTCGAAATTGTCTAATTGATTCCTAGATGTCTAATGTATTCCGTGCTTCCCCTCAGATGTCGAGGTCTTCATGATCCAGCGAGTCAGCAGAAGAAAGAGGAAGGGGGAGAGTAAACAGCCTTGTCTGACTCCGGTCCTCTTTTGTAATGCATCTGTCATCTGTCCTCCATACATGACTTTGCATTGTAGTCCGTCGTATGATTTCCGGATGCTGATGATTTTCTCAGGCACTTCAAATTGTCGAAGTAATTTCCATAATTTTCTCCTATCCACACTGTAAAATGCCTTCTCATAATCAAGATTGTTGATGCATAGTGACGAATTATATTCAAATAATTGTTCAAAGATAATCTGTAGTGTCGCAATTTGATCTGTGAACGACCAATTCTAACGGAATCCAGTCTGTTGTTCTCGAAGTTGGGCGTCTGCTATGTCTTTCATCTGGTTCAGCAACACTTCATTGAAAACTTTTCCCGGTACTGACAGTAGTGTGATGACTCCGTAGTTCTCCCGTTTGCTCAGATCTCCTTTCTTTAGTATCTTGATGATGTATAATTCTTTCCAGTCAATCGGCACTTGTTCTCCTTTCCAAATATTTCTGAATGGAACGTGCAGCATGTTTGCAATTACTTCTATGTCCTACTTTAGTGTATCACATGGTATGTTGCCAAATCCTGCAGCTTTCCCACACTTTATTTTTTCTGGTAATCATCTTGATTTCTTCTATCGTTGGTGGAATGATATCTATAAGAAGGTTTGTATGTACTGCTTCGATTTCCTGTGGATTCAATGGAGCTGGTCTAATAAACTGTTCCTCGAAGTGCTTCACCCATCAGTTCCTCTGTTCTTGAATTCTATTGGTTGGCTTTCCTTCTTTGTCTTTGACGGGTCTCTCTGGTTTACTATAATACCCTGTTAGTTTCTTCGCTGTGTCATATAGCTGTCTCACATTTCCTTCTCTTGTAGCTTTTTTTTAGCTGTTGCCGCTATCTCCTTTACGTATATCTGCTTGTCAGTTCTAATGCTCTTCTTCACTTGCTTGTTTACTTCTGTGCATTCAGCATGTGTCTTGACTTTCCCTGCCTATGTTCGGCTGTTGTTAATTGATGTCTTCTTATTCTTCCTTTCTTGAATCTTGTCTAAGATCTATCATTTGTACAGAATATCTTTCAAATATTTAATTTAGTTAATCTTAAACTAAAATGAACACTTAGCAACGAGTTACCTAAAAGTAACTAACTATATGATTGTTCTTATAAGCTAAATCCACAGTAACTTCAGTAATTACCACTTGATGTGATAAATTAAGGTAACACCTTAATTCATAAATCCTATCCTAATTAATAATATTCGACTTAGCAACTCTTTACTAAATCAATATATACTTAAACATAAATCCACCCTAATTATGAAATATATATATATATAACTACTACTACTACTACTACTACTATCACCACCACCACCACCACTACTACTACTACTACTACCACTACTACTACTACTACTACTACTACTAGCACTATTACCACTACCACCACCACGACCACTATTACTACAACTTACTACTACTACTACTACTACTACTACCTTAGATTACAAAAACAAGCAAACAAAAAATAGAACATCCCACTCACCACCTCGCCTACATTCTAATCCATATTAATTTTCCTCTATTATTCTTAGTTTAAAACAAGAAAAAAACAGAGAAAAATATTTTGTTTATATTTTCTCACTTACATTGACTGTAAAGTAAGATGTTTATAGAAAACAAAAAAAAACAAAAAATCTGTCGTTACTATTTTGAAGACAACGCCCTAATTTTTTTTCTTTTATTTGGATAAACCAAAACTGAGGATAATGAATAAATGAAACTGTTATATCCTGAAGAGAATTCTACAATGGTAACTTTGGTGAACCATCTATGAACCAATACTTAGGCGTAGATATTTTTTATCGTATAATCGCTAAGTAACTAAACTATTCATATACGTGTCCCCCCTTATTATATGCTTTATTTCGACCTATCAACTATTGTTATACGATTAACCATACATGAATTATCCCTTGTCTATTAATTACTGTTCCCCTTATTCACAGCCACATTTGGCTAGGCCTTGTACAAGTGTTGTTTCTAATTTTTATAGTACGATGTGGTCAGTTTGTTGGATATATAAACTCAATATGTTTGAAATATAATGATTCATACCGCAGAGGCTGTTCTGAACTTAACTGGCTGGGCTAGGCAGAAAGTAGGACCGACAAGTACTCTGGATTGCTCTCTGATTGGCTATCTTATCGCGTCATACGTCAACACGGCAATAAAAGAGTAATAATAATCATAACAAAGTTTAAAGCATCATCATCACTAGTGACTAGCTTCGATAGGTATTACCTAGAATTATAGTGAGAAGCAGTGACCAGGGGAGTTCAACCAGTGACATATCAACTCACTGAAGGCAATAGTGAACGGTTGCTCAACTTCGTGGATTGGTTGAAGTTTGACATTAACACCGCTGGATGCCGGCAAGTTCAGTGGTCTAGAGGTTAATCGCTCGGGCGCGAGACTGATATGTCCTGGGTTCGAATCTCGTGAAGCGGGATTATGGATGGACATTGCTGAGGAGTCCCACAATTGAACGAAACGGCCATCCAGTGCTTCCAGGTTTTCCATATTGATCTACCTTCCATTAACTCATGATTTGAACTATTGAAATTATCATTATACAGTTATAGATTGATTGATTGAAGTTAAGCTTGTACAGTCACTTAATTCTAACTAATTCATCTCTAAGTTGAGCATTCACCATGATATCGAAGATATTTTATTTTATCTCCTATGAAGTTATCTGCTAACAACGTTGAAAAATCCCATACTTGGACGAAACGGTCGTTGAATACTTTCAGGTTTTTAATAATTGAATATTGAATAATGGTTATTAATCTATTAAATTGTTGATTTGTTTATTGTTTACAACTTGTTTATCTATGAAATATTGTACAAACAAATTTGTTTACATTATGATTACTATGATTGCCTTTATGACTACTCCATCTCCATTCTCTTTTAAAAAAAGCAATTATAGTAATGACAATAGTAGTATTCATTATTTCAATATGGTAGGATCATTAATATCATTTATTGTGGTATCAGTTAGCTTATTTGATATGAATGTATGTGTGTGAGTGAGTGAGCGAGCGAGTGAGTGAGTGAGTGAGTGAGTGAGTGAGTGAGTGAGTGAGTGAGTGAGGAAAAGACTATGCAGTATATTTGACACTTCTTAATAAACTATGTTGTTCAATCGGATAGATCTGTCAGTAGTTAGATCATATTGTTCTACTGAACGCTTGAGTTGATTAAGTTAGATTAGTTTTGTTTCAATGACTTATTTACTGACAATATATGAAAGAGAAGATCTGACAGATCATATATTCACTTATTTTGTATATGATCTGTATAACTATGTTTGTCAAACAAAATTATAATGAATTCGTATGGTATTTTTTACTTGTATCTTTCCATTGTTATTTAGGACTGCAATTGATCAGTCACTTGTGAACATCAACTCTGAGATGCAGGCGCATCCAGCTGATGAATTCCAAATAGGACGAAACACGCGTCCTGGATTCTACTGTTAGCCACTATTCATCTTTGCTTATAAAGCTTGTGACTTCAGGCAATATCGAGGCAGTCCGCATAGGATGCACATATGTTAACAAGAGACTGATCAATTGCAGTCCTAAGCATCAATAGGAAGATACAAGTAGACAACACCATGTGAATTTAAATTTCACCCGATTGCACAAGCAGTTGTCTATTAGGACTCAGTAGCTAAGTGGATAACATAATGGCGTTTGAAGCGAACGGTACTGGGTTCGACTCTCAAAGTGAACATCAACTCTGAGATGCAGGCATATCCAGCTGACGAGTCCCAAATAGGATAAAACATGGATCCTGGATTCCACCGCTAGCCACTATCCATCTTTGCCTATAGAATTAAAATGACTTGATAAAACAAAATAACTTTTAGTCTCCTAATCACTAATTTTGATTGATTTTACTAATTTTAGATTTATCCCTTCATTTTGAAATCTCAAGGTCATGAAATTGGGTCATGACAGAATCATATGGATTTACTGCTAATTATTCCAATAGTGGAGATAGTCATATATTTAGTTGTTCCCAGTCGTCCAATAGTTATCTGACTAAAATCAATTGTTGATTTAAAATAAAAATTAGTTCAGTTACGGAAGTTTCAACGGTGCGAAATATCTACCCCTCTCAAACCAATTGTGAAAGGTTTTTTAACTATTCAATGGAATATCTACTTTTGAAGTGATAAAGGTAGAGTTCTCCTAACGTCTATAAGACTTTATACGGTTTGTAATTAATTTCGTATTTTTGTAAATGATGATGTCCCGTTACTTTAAACTAATAAACTACTATCTCGTTTATAATCAGATGGCGTTTTGTGGCGATTTCAGTATTTTCATGGTTGAAAGCATGAGTCAATTGAAGCTAGACCACCAAGAAAACCCTGGAAGGACTGAATGGCCGTTTCGTCCTATTGTGGGACTCCTCAGCAGTGCGCATCCACGATCTCCCAGGACCTATCAGCTTCGCGGGCGAGCACCTAATTGATTCATGATCCCAACTATTAAAATTACTATAAAATTGACCATTTTATAATGTTTTATAATTCTTTCAAAATAATTATGATTCATCATGCATCAAAAACTAATCTCGGATGACCTTTTGAATATTTTCAAAGAAAAAGTAGTTATTTCTTGGTTATAATCAATATAAATTTTGACTACCTCCAACCACCATCTTATCTCAACATAGTTCACGCAGTGTCAAGCCACCTAGACTAGTGGACACATTGCAACTTGATCGATAGCATTCGACCTACAGTAAGAAATACTTGACATGTATGACATTAATCACCACCCAGTGATCAATCAGTTTTGCTTTATTTTGTTCGAAAAATATAAGTGTAACATGTTATATTAGTGTTCACTTGAAAACAGGAGCAATCTGAAACAATAACACAATAGTTGAAAGCGTGAATCAATTGAAGCTAGACCACCAAGGAAAACCTGGAAGCACTGGATGGCCGTTTCGTCCTATTGTGGGACTCCACAGTAGTGTGCATCCATTCCTTAGTGGTCTAGCTTCAATTGACTCATGCTTCCAACTATGAAAATTCTAAATCTCCACAAAACCCCTTCTGATAATAACATAATAGTCAAGACTGGTAAATCCCTCTGACGTAAGAACAAGGTGTACTGGCACAACGGACATATTTTTAAAATTCAAAGATACGGTTCGAGTACAAAAAGAAGTAGGAAACTTATTACTGAATAGTTTTATTCATTGTTCTTCAGAGTGAGTTTACGCAAGACTTTTTCCTCTTCTTCTAGTACATGTTTACTCTTTAATTCCCTATAATAAGAAAAAAAACTCACATTCACAACGTCTCATGTAGTAATGTTAAATACCATTACATAAATAACCTTGAGTTAGCACAATAATTGTGGAAATAATATTGAATATCATCATATGTGAAAATTATATCTGAATTAGTCTCAGCGATTGAAATTTAAATATTTCCAATGTTTCGTCCAACTAACTTGTCTGAACTTCTTCAGGAAATTATTAAAGTTTCAATCGCTGAGACTATTTCAAACATGAACTTAGACATTTACACCATTGGATGCCGGCCGTCTCAGTGGTCTACCGGTTAAGTGCTCTGGCGCGAGACTGATAGGTCCTGGGTTCCAATCTCGCGAGTGAGGGATCGTGGATGCGCACTGCTGAGAAGTCCCATAATATGACGGAACGGCCATCCAGTGCTTCCAGGTTTTCCATTGTCGTCTAGCTTCAACTGACTCATGTTTTCAACTATGAAATACTAAATTCTCCACAAAACCCCCTTTGTTCTATTTCAAATATAATTTTCACATTAAATTACTTCTCTATATTTGGTGCCTAATTTTTATCAAGCTATTCGTTCTAAAATTGACGAATATTCGTATAGAATATTGAATATTGGACAAAAAATTTATTTATCATCTAAAAATAGTAAGTAATATGACTATTTGAAATCAGCCAATCAGATGAGATCTTATAAAAAGTTCGAACACACACGCACGCACGCACGCACCATATATATATATATATATATATATATATACAACCACGTCAAATGAACTTACATCAATATTATTATGCCTTAGCAACACATGTTGATGGGAAAAATTGTTTTAAATAATTATAGGACAATTTATTATTCATATTAAAAAAAAGAAAAAGGAGAATTAATTTATTGAAGTACTCAATTAGTCATTATGTCATTATTACAAATTACAATGTACAATGAATGCATGTTGAATATATCTTATATAGGTAATCAATATGAATAGATTGAAGTGATTGTGACATCCCTACATCCCTACATACAAACTTACATACATACCCATACACATACACAAGTAATGATATAAAATATATCATAGATACCCTCAAATATATACCAAATATTACATCATCCATTAAAATGATTATTATGATAATGATGATAATGATTAGTAATACTATCCCATGGTTATACATTTGTCAACCCGAAGACATATACTACTAATAGTATTTACACATTTTTTTTCTGAGCTTCATTACAATCGATAGAATAAAAAAGGAAACAACACACACAAAAAAAAATTTTTTTTCTCGGACGGGAAAAAAGTAAACATAGCAACAAACTATACAAGAGGAAATAAACGCTATTATTATTATTATTAATATATTGTGGAAATATTCATAACCTTTTGAAGATTGTTTATTTTTAATCTTTTCTGGGAAAAGCAAAAAAAAAAACAAACGAAGAGAATAAAATCGTAACCAATCAATAAAGAAGGAGGGTTCATTCAACTGGTGTTGTAATCCTTTTGTAAAAAAAAACAAACAATAAACAAACTGAATAGATCAATCTATTAAGAAGGAGAGATAGAGAGAGAATCAATGAGGAAATAGTGAAGTAAGTGTTGTTGTTGTTGTTGTTTTTGTTTTAAAATTTGAGTAAAATTAATTTTAAGAGTGTTAATCATTAAAAATTGGTAGGTGGAATCGTGGATGAGTATTGTTGAGGAGTCTCATCATAAGACGAAAGGGTCATCCAGCTATTCCATGTTCTCCATGATGGTCTAGCTCATGATTTAAACTATATAAAATTACTAAAATCTTCACAAACCGCCCCCCTCACCTTTGATATAATTTGTTGCTAGATTTTGATAAAACTACACTTTCAAATGTTATTTATAAATCAAACAAATTATATTCTTGATGGAATAGAATATTTGAAGGAGTGTGAACATCCATACAATCATAGTTTCTAATTTGATAGTATCTGATCCCTTGGTTAAGCTAAAGTGACGTTTAAATTAGTTTTCATTGTTGCTGATTAAATTCAACTGCTTAAAAGAAAAGTGTAAAAACTTAAAAAATTTTCAAGTTTATTTCTAAAAAAAAATATTAATTTAAACCAGTTACTTCATTGATGGTCATTAGAAAGTTTAACTAAGATGTTTTCCAGAACGTTCTAGAAAGACTCTTATAATGTATTCTATAATATTGATAATTCAATGGAAAAGTGTATACTATCAGTATACATACGAAAAATGGCATATTTATCTGGGCTAGACCTGTAAGTAACAGACAGTCGTTTTGTTATAACATTGGACTCTTCAGCAGCGCACATCCACAATCTCACACATGGAGTCTGAATCCAAAACTGTTTGACTTACGTGCGAACTCTTAACTTCTAGACCATTAAGTCGACATCTAACAGTGTAAATGTGTAACTTCAGTCGATTGAATCATGAATTCAATCATTAAAATACTACAAAATCCATAAATCCCCATATTGATACTTCTATCTTCAGAGACTAATTGAATGTTTGACTTATGACGATATTTAGCTAATAATGATACATATTTTGTATTGATATAAAATTTACGTAATGGAATTCTTTTCATTGTCATCCCTTCCCCTGTCGAACCTTTAAAATGTTTTTCTCTATATGAGGAACAAAATCGTCTCAATCTGTTGCTTTTAAGACAAATTTCTATTCTAAGCATCATTTGACTCTTTCTTTGACTACCTTACTTCAGTTATTTACATAGCATCTAATTTTATTTATAAGATATAGAATATTATCAACAAACTTACTGATATCATATTATCTAGTCATGGCCCGAACACCTGAGTGGTAATGCCTCTGACTGTGAAGCTGGATGACACCGGGATCGAATCCTTGAAGGAGCACCAGTTCCCTCAAGATTACAGGTACACTTTGCTGATGAGTGCCAAGTAGCATGAAACTCGGGTCCAGGGTTTCTTGTTGACCACCTCCAACCACCATCTTATTATCTAGTCTTTCATGTCTTAATGAAGTTCTATCGATAATATGTTTCAATTATAGTTACTAGTGTAGGAAACTCTATCTCAGGCTACATTATACGTATATACATATATGAGTGAATTTCTTTCTAGCCTACATACAAGAACAGTATCAAATGTACTAACGTTTAATATGAAGTCAGAACTCAAGTCAACTAAATGACCTATTTTTGTTTCATCATAGAATAACATTTAGACCAGGGATTTTCAAATCATATAATGTTTAGAAAAGGCTTTGTGGAGATTTCAGTATTTTTCATATTTGAAATTATGAATCAATTAAAACTAGACTAACATGGAAAACCTGGAAGCAATGGACGGCCGTTTTGTCTTATTATGAGACTCCTCAGCAGTGTGCATCCATGATTCCGTCTCACGAGATTCGAACTCAGAACCTATCAATCTCACACGCGAGAGTTTAACCTCTAGACCATTATAATATTCACAAAAACCCTTCTCATATTAATATTTAATTCCCAATATTTTTTTTAACCAATCTATGTCCTTGAAAATTTACCACTTGACTTTTACTTTTCATTATTTACATTAAAAATGAAAAGTATAATCAATTTTCAATTTATATTTTCTTTTATTCCATTTACCCTGTCACTAATATAAAACAAAAAGAAACTGTAATTATTTGGAAACTAATACTCATGCACACACACACACACTCACACTCTGTTTTAGTTATTATGTTGATCAAATAAGGTCAAATTTGATCGCCTATTCTAAACTGACTTTCTCTACTGTAATTCTAGTGATGACAGTAGTAGTAGTAGTAGTAATAGTAGTAACTGTATATATTATCCATATTGCTTTTGGCAACATTCAATTTATAAAGTGTCTTTCTGTTTATGTATGTGTGTATATGTTAGTTTGTATATACATTATGGTTAGTTAATTAGATATATTGAATTGATGAACATTATGAGTTGTCAATTATATATGTCGAATTGTTGGTCAAATAAATTAGGGTAACATCTATGAAAACAAAGGCGTTATTCAAGTTGAATTATTAAATATATGTGATTATTTTTTATTTAGTTAAACTTAGTATAATTGTCTATGCTTAATTCAAAAGTAAACATTATATTTCATAGTTGAAATCATGAATCAATTGAAGCTAGACCATTATGAAAAACCTACAATCACTGGATGACCGTTTTGTCTTATTATGGGAATTCTTAGCAGTGCACATTCACGATCCCACCTTGCAAGATTCGAACCTAGGACTTATTACTCTTGATGACGAACGCCTAAATTGATTCATGATCTTAACTATTGGAATTACTATAATATCCACAAACCCTTTTTTCTAATTGAGGTAAGATGGTGGTTGGAGATGGTCAACAGGAAACCCTGGACCCGGTTTTCGTGCTACTTGGCACTCGTCAGTAAGGTGTACCTGTAATCTTGACCTGACACGCATGACATTGATCACCACCTAGTGATCAATCAACTGTGACCCCCTTCTAATGTTTCATAAAACATTTATCTTTACATTGAGTCGATCGAAAGATATTTATTTTTACCACTTTTCTCACCATAAAAATTCATACTAAGTCATTTATATAATGTTTTTTGTAGTTTTAACAAGCGTTAGTGCTTCAAATACTGAACGTTACTTAAGCACGCAAGAAAAAGTAACTAGATGTGGGGGGGGGCGAAGTATAAACAATTCCTATGCAGTAGAATGAAAATCTATTTAGAATTCCTGCATATTTTCGTAATAGTTAATTTGATTATTACTGATTCTTTGAATAAATGGAAATTCTAAAACATCATCTCCGATTATGAGACTCATCACCAATATACGTTGATAGGTTTCATTGAATACTTGGTATTTATGTATTCCATGGAGCACAATATTACCAAGCCATAGAAACTATATTCGATAATCTACAATTTTAACTTTAATCAATCCTCAACAAAGGATAAATTTCGTGAAGTTTGAAAATTGTAGCTTCCGATGTCATTTTATATTTGATCTTATGTAGCACTGAGAGTTAATGCTGTTTGATGAGATCACATCGAAACAAAACATCCATTCAGCGCTACTAGATTTTCAAATAGACAGTAAACTAGAAAAAAGACTGTCAGTAAATTAATCATATCTCCAGGACATGCCGTTTACATGCTAATAATTTAATTCCAACAGATCTATTGCAAATATAGTCTATGAATAAATAAACTAAATGAGTATAAACACTTTTCGTGATATATAAGAATATATATGCATATATCAATATGGAGACTTATAGAGATTATAGTATTTTTAACAGTTGAATTCACGAGTCAATCTAAGCTAAACTGCCAATGAAAACCTGGAAGCACTGGATGGGCGTATCGACCTTGTATGGAACTTCTCATAAGTGCACATCCACAATCCCACATTTGAGACTCTTCTCTAATATCAACTTTAGGCGTTAGTTTAGTGGTTTAGAGGTTAAGCGCTCGCGTGTGGGACCGAAAGTCCTACAGAACAATTCATTACAATGATTATTTGTTTCGGGGAATTATCAAAAAATTCGTGTTTTTAACTGAACCAAATGAACACTATCTAATTTAATAACTTCGGTAAATTTGATCTGTGACTAGTAATGAGATCCAGGAGGTACATTACATATTATCTGGAACACATCAATTACTTAGGTCAAAATGTTCACACCAAGACTCGAAACCAGTGCTCATCCCTCCAAATGTCAATGCATTATCCACTAATCTACTTATTACATATAACCACTAACTTGTTTGATAACTATGAAGATTCAATTAAAGGTTGGTAATTTTCATATTCAGAACTATAAGTTATATGTCTTGGTTACCAAATGTGCATCGTGGACAGATTGTTTCAATATTGTTATTAGGCTGCAAGCGTTTTATGGACAGAGTTGTATAGCAGTTAGGAGTGGGATGAAAGACGATCATCAACCGGAGTAGCTACAAATAACCCGGTGGCTATTCGGATTCAGTAACAGAGTAAATAACGCGTCGGGCCTAGTGTACGGGAGGTAATGACTATTAAAACTGTTTAACAAGTACATCCAGCTGATGAGTCCTGAAAAGCACAAAACCACCGCCCTGCTTTCCACTGCTAACCATAATTCAACTTTACTGATAAAATTCTTTAAATTACAAGTAGTTACAGGAGGTCTACCAATTTTTCGATCAAAATGCTGTAAAAACTTCGCAGCTGTGAACATTTTCACTTTATAAACTTATTTTTTTAATTCAGTGAATCATTGTTTTTATTTATTTAAAAACATGAATATTGGTACTAAGGGTCATCAGATATATAAATGCGCCAAACAAAAAATTATCATTTCATTTGTATGAGGGCCATGATACAGCCCAGGTGGCCAAACTGAAGTAAGTGGTTTAACTAGGGGGGCACACCCTGATCCTTTGACATAAAGATCTGATCCACAAGGCAGTAGAGCATCGTGAGAAGATGTAGTCCCATGGTAGCCGGTGACCAACGATTAATTCATACACCATTTGTTCCCTCAGGATCCTGGAGCCCATGTGCACCATTGGTTTGGAATGACGGTTTTCCAACTTCTCTAGGTTGACTT